GTGAAGGAAAATTGCGTATATGTGCGTCTCTTCAAGCGTTTAGCAGAAAATTAAAATCGTAGATGTCGAGGTGGTGTTTTTTCTACTTATAAATTGACTTTCATAAAGATGTGTCGGTCTGGAGCTAAATTAAAACCTACTCATCTGTTTTCTACTCTTCTTATTATGGAATAATGATGTTTTTTTAGAGGTGTGCCTTGTTTTATTTTATATTTTTTATAATCAGATATCAAATTCATGACACAGATTTCTATTTAATTGTCATAAAACAAGTGACACAGGTTGTTTCGCTTTGTTTAGTTTATAAATATATTCACATATATTTAAAACCAATCAACAATTATTCAAATAACCACAAGTACCAATGATTGAACAGGAACAAAATGCGTTTAACTCTTAATTAAGCAAAAATTTTTCTCTAGAAAACCACAGAACACATTATTATTATTATAAATTGTTTTCAAACCATTATAAATGCGGTTCTTAAGTATCTGACCTAATTCTACCGATTTTATTCTACAAATTCAATTAAAGTTTAATTATGTTTGAACGATAATTATTGCACGGTCTGTCTGATGCTTTTCACATTGCGTATACGCCGGGTCTGCACTCAATTTGACGAGCAGACGAGTGCAAGTGCAAGTGCAAGAAGTGGCCACAATTGCATTTAGCCAAACTAAAAACATTTACGATGGGCAAACATGCCGTGAGCGTGACAGCAGGAGCAGAAAAGTCGGAACTGGCGGAAAAGGCTCTGGCGGCGGTGCAGACAAGTCGCTCCAGATGGCACATAACAGACACTTGAATGGCAAAAGTTAAAATTACAATTAAACACAAAGTAGTCGGCAGAGAGAAGCCGAGCGCAAAGAGTTCCAGCAGCACAGGAGAAAAGTATACATTAAGAAATAGCCATAAATGGCTGTGACCTAACAAACTTTTCATTTTAGCACAATTCCAACTTCTAAGAAAGTGTATTAATAAAGGAAAATATATATTTATAACCAAGGTGTTCAAAATTTCAAGAAATTTCTTATTTTCTTTTATTAAACAAGATATCTTTCAAGAAACATAACTTTTCTTTTGGGAGTTTCAAAAATAAGGACTTAAGGGATAAATTTGTGAAATTCGTATTAAATATCCTTTTAATCCTAGATCCTGGTAAATCATTTCGTGTTAGATAGTTAAACAGTTGTCACTTTTCCAACTTACTTTATTCTTGAATATTATAATTTATTTACTGTATAAATATATAAAATTTTTTCCTCTGCATATGGAGGCCATTCCGCTTGGTCATCGGATATCCTTCTCCTGCTGCAGGAACTGCTGTTGCAAAAAAAGGGCAGCAGTTCTCTGACAAATGCAAACAACTCGACACAGTGAAGCCCCACGGAGCTGAGTAAACTGTTGGCTTAACAAATTGCTAATCCACTTCCACTTTGAATGCTTCTCCTCGTCGAACCGTCAAAGTACTGGCCAATTGGGGAGTCCTTTTAAATCTATTCGAGATTATGGCCCCGGAAAAATCTGCATTTTTGCTAACTTTTTCCTGTTTTACATCAAAGGCGGCAGCGGCAGCGGCAACGGCAGAATTTATCTAATTTGATTAAGATGCATTTTCCAAGAACACTTGAATGCAAACCAAGTGGATGAAAACTTTTTATTGCATTTCCAATTGCATTTTCTCGAACTCTAGGGTCGGCCATAGGTGTCTCGGCCCAGATTTGCTCGTAATTTAATTTCGCAAAACCCAAGACCGAGCTGAAATATTTAAATGAAGTTGTGCCACGACGATGATGAGTGTGTGCACTGCTGCTTCTGCTTTCATCTTACTCAAAGGTCATCTCAGTTGGCTTTCAAGAAAATTAGTTTTAAATTAATTAAAAGATTTTCCCATAACTACGAGCTGTGGCTCTTGATGGCGTTGGAAAAGTGCGGCGGCCAGAAAAAGGAAAGAATGGTAAAAGTAAAACTTGGATAATCATCCCAACCGCACCCAGCCCCGATCGCCCCTCTCCGGGCAGCTGCCTTAACCTCCGACCCAAGGAATTCAACTCACTTTTTAATAGTTCGCAAACCACGGAAGGCTATGTGAGTTTAAACACTGTTACAAATGCTTTTCCGGAGCCGGAAAGAGTGTATGCGTGTGTGTGTGCCCTGCCGCCATCACTGAAATTACGCAGCAGGCGTAATCCGGAAAACTTTGCCGCCGTAGCCGAGTTCCTTTCCGACTTTTAAATAGTCCTTGAGTATTTATTTGCATTTCAACTTTGAGCGGCATAATGTGTGCAATTATTTCAGCAGAATTAAGCATTTCGAAAATTATTTTACCTCATTAACTTGATTTAAAGTAAGTTTAATAACTACAAAGTCGTTACAAACTGCACAAAGGAACCCATAATACATAAATATTTTTCCATTTCCGTTTCGAGAGTTGAGAGAAATTCAGAAAATTTGACAAGCGGAAATTGTAAAATAAAGAAATATGGCAAACCCATTTAAAGTTAATAAACAAATCTTCTTAGAGAAATCAGAGACAACTCGGTTCGGCTCAAATAACTATATAAATATTTTCGCGAGCATTTGTATGTTTGCTTGTTTTAGGTTGCAAAGGGAAATAAACCCGTGAGAATGGAGTTGGGTCTGAATATATACATATATCAGCTGTTAGCTATTTCATCCCCAATGGTCAAATTTTTTGTAGCGAAAAAGAAAACAAGTTAAAAAAACTTTCACTAAACGTTAGCTTTTACTCTACCCTTTAAAGTGGTTCCCTTCGAATTAAAGTTTTGTTACTTTTTATGAAAAAAGTTTGGGAATTTTTTGCAACATTTAATACTTTGCTTGTTATCTTTTAATACTTTGTAATCATTCTTAGAATGCAATATCTATCTATTCAAGTTAATAAAATGACTAAAATGTAGAATTGAAGCTCAACTAGTTTCAATGACATTAAGTAATGAACAACTATCTTAAAGTACTTTAATTATAATTTTATAATACTTATAATATTTATATTTTCTTACGGGAACATATGTGAATATCCCTGGTAATATAGATAGACTCCGCACGGGGTTGTTTTTCACCGGGATGGCATGGATTCATGGCCAACCCCCGAGAAACTCCGGCACTCTACGGCTCCGCGCTGCAATCGCTCTACCTGCCCCTGATTAATTTAGTCTGGGTCCCCGTCTCTCACTTTGTTTCTTGTTTTCTTTTCTGCCAGAGGTACCCACAGGGTATACCATGACATGTGTTCTGGGGGAGTGCGAGTGGGTGTTAGGGGTGGTGCCAGTGTTGCACTTCTAAGCGCCTCAAATTGAATGCAACGGGGACATCAGATGTCCAAGGTACATATATACATATATGTCCGTTAGCATGAACGTAATTAGAAAAACATTGGAGCACATGTATAGGTTTGTATCGCAACCAGGAAGTCCGAAAATGTATATAAAAAAAGCAGAGTAATTGGAAAAGCCACGGGAAAGTCACGGGCGAAAAGTTACTTAGGTGAAAACATTTATTTAAAATACTATACAGTCTGTGTCGTAAATAAGACCTTTATATTGAAATAAGGATAATAAAAGGTATTTTTATGGATATATAAGGTATAAGAAATGATTTGACGACAAAGGGTATTTATAGGGTATTTACGGACTACTCTACAAGAATTATTAAATGAATGAAAGTAGTATTATTCATTATAGTAAGAATAATTACTATATTAACTAATACTCCTCTTCAAGAAGCAACAAATAAAAGAAAATACAATGTCGGTTGGGCCTGCCTGCTCGTAACTCTCAACAGATTTCAACGTCATCATTGATAAAAAGAAAACTAAGGCTAGGAAACCCACCTAACGCAGTCAAAGGATGCTGGGGAAATTAAAGAAATCTGACGGATTTCCATTGTCGGCTTTTCCGCCCCTGTCTGCCTTGCAATTGACCGCTTTTGTGCTTGACAAAAGGAGAGGGACGACAGGCCAACACAACACAAAGGGGAAATGTGGCCCACAAAGGAAATTCCATTTAATGGATTTTAAATGTTCCGATTACTCGACCCTGAAGACATACCCTGTATAAGCATTCATCAAGGAGCTTCTAATAAGACATTAGTATTTGTTTACCAAATAAAGCATAATTATAATTAAGAAAGCCTGCAGCATAAGGTTCAGCATAAACCCAAATGAAATGGATGACTGTATTGATTCAGAGCTTTGATTAAACTTTTTTTCTATAGAAATTATAATTTATGTGGCTCAAACACGCAAGTTTTTGGTGCCATAAGACATAAGATATAAAAGGGGTTTATATTTAGGAATTAATAGGAGAGGAAGCTTTTATTTTAAAGTTTGGTTTAAAATTTTATTGAACTTTACCTAGCTACAATTTTATAAACTAAATAAAAAGCTACTTTTGAAAATATTAACAGACAGTCTAATTACTTTATGATATAAGGGACATCTTTTACTCTACTAACTTCATAAAAAGATTCAATTGTTTAAAGTTTCTTATTTTTTATATAAAAACTCTTAAATTACTTAAGTTAGTACGACTTTAATGCAGCCACCTGAGTAGTGGAAAACCCCAACATTATATGTGTATATCGATCGATCCATTAGCATGGTAGTCCGACCCTAAATTTTGTTTTCATATATTTACAAATGTATGAGATGTTCACACGCAAATTACAAGAATGATAAATCAATTCTGACACATAGTAGATTTATGTTTGAGAAGAAGATTCATATGCTGGATTTCAAAGGCAGTTCCTCTTACTCTCAGCCAAAATGCACCACAGTTCCTTGTTGATTCTAGTTTTCCTTGGAATTGATTATCCCATACCTGTCGTCGGCGTCGTCGCCGGCAGTTTGGAAAAAAGCACCCCGAATCGTATGCAATTTTGGAAACACCACCGAAAAAACGAGAGCGGGAAGCAAAACGTCTGGCGGTTTCAGGCTGTTCTGCATTAAAAACATTAAAAACTGCACTAAGATCGCTTACCAAAACACATATGGATGAGAATAGAGCCAACTACGAGCTCTTATAGTTCACTTAGCGATGATTGAGTTCACTTGGCACTTAAGTATCTCTACAGAACCCTCTGGCTGAATCCGGAAATCACAACAGTTCGAGAATCAAAACCAGACAGAGCACGGAACACGCTCGTTATGGCCATTTGGAGGACCTTTGTTCGTTCACTAACGCTTGGAAAATTCAATTTTGACAATTTTCAAGTGACACTTGACGGCAATCCATGAGATACGATTGCGTCCATCCGATAGAACGATACGGCGACTACCACGAGGAGTATCTACAGCACACCGCGGAGCACACTTTCACCCACGAACAGCGACAGAAACTGACTGACAACCAAGCAACTTTGCGCCACCGGCCAGAGCCAAAATAAAGCCACGAGCGCACAGCCGAGCACGAGGCGCCAGGACACACGGCCAGGACTCCTCGTGAAAGAAGCGAGAGGCGCATGCCGCCGCTGGTGTGAGGAGTGCGCACAGAGAGCGCCGTTGCTGGTGGTGGTTTGTTGGACTGTCGAGGGGGTGGCTCGAGTGCTGCGGTGGTTGGGCGGATGGGTGGATGGGCAGGCCATGTCATGTTTTGACGCCGTCTGCCGTTGCAAGATTCGCAAGAGGCACAGCCGGTTGCCGGGGGGTGGAAAGGTTGTCGTTGCCGGCCAGTTGAACTCTCAAATAATACAAAGCAAATTAATCCCAAAATCTGCATGCCAAAAATCAGTGTTCGGTCTCGATTCATTATTGAACAAAATAACTAGCACTAGTAATATTGCGCCGCAGATGTTGAGTGCAATAAAGAAAAAATAAATTACTATTGGCAGCGCAACCAGGAAAATATTTGAAATATTTACGGTAAATTTTTTGCAGCACTTCAAATCTAATATAATTAAATAAACCAACAAAAAGCCGAACAAATTAGTACAAAGACTCTGGAGAACCATGAATTCCTTGCTTAACGGCTTTGAACAAGGTTTTAAATGTTAAATAGTTAAAATACACAAAGAATAAGGGGTTGTTTTAGAGGTCTACCAGGGATAACTATGATTTAAATTGTATTGACCATAGTAATCATTTGAGTTGTAAGAGATTTGTTCCCTGAACGTATTAAATTTTTATATATTTAACCGACGATTCGCTCCAAGAAAAATTTACTACTATAAATGCAAAGTCAAATCTTTAATAATTGAAATAAAAAATCTGTTTACTTGCAATACCGATCTGCTTTCATTTTGCTGCGTCTATCCAAAAGGGTTTCGTGTAGAGATCCTTGGGCCTTGGCATTCTCCAGTTCCTTGACGTCGTTTTGATTAATACGCATCTTCTTGTCCTGGAATTTTTGAAACTTTTTACTGCGAAGAGACAGAGCATTAAATAAATTATCTTACGAAATAGGCTCCTACTTACACATAGTTCCTTTCAACTTCGCCCAGATCACCCTTTTCCTCCTTCGGCTCTGTATCGACGACCACGTCCCGTGTAGCATTGCTCCGCACTTTGCAGATCTCATACTGTCCCACCTTTTTCCGCAACGCCACACAAGCATCATCTTCCGGATCGATGGACATAAAGTGGCCGGTTTCCGACAGCAAGGCCATTCGTTTATCCTTCAAAATTGACCTGTTATAAATCATTTATTTGAAACAAAGAGAACATACCTCAAAAACGGGTTCCCACTGTTCCATACTGCCCACAGCTTCGGATCGACCTGTGACCATGCCATCTTTTTCGATTTTCAAATATTTTCCATAGCCAGATTTAAAGGAGACCTTGCGGTCGTTAATAGGAAAAGCGGTGAAAATCTCCTCCGGATCGGGACCCTCACCGGCGTTATGAGGTGCGCCAAGGGTAAATAAACTGTAATTAACGTATTTGCAGTATACGATATACATTAGGGCACCAGTTTTTATGTATTAAAAATCAAACCATACCCGTTATCCAAGGCTTTCAGGTAACACCGATCGCTAAACTCAATGGACACAGTGCCGGTGATGTCCGCCGCTGTCTTTGCTACCCACCAGCCGCCGTGCTCCACGGCATCCTCGTCCACCTGCACCTTTGACTTCTTGGAAGATGATCCTGCCTCATCCTTCTCCTTCTTGCGTTTCTTGCTTTTCCTACAATAAAAGGTTTTTCAGATGCTGCAAGTTGCAACAGTACCAACAATATAACCTTACTTGTGTTTTTCTCCTTTTAATACGAGTTTCTTAATGCGTATATTGTCGTAATCAGACATAGTCACAGGAACCGCAGCTTATAATAATTTTGAAGCTCAAAATATGTAAAAACACGCAAAATGACCAAGTTGTTTTGATTTTTTTCAAGAACAACAAGAATATATATAGGGATGACAACTGAAAATATTAAAGTATCGATAGCTCCGTGCGAGACCAATCGATGAACGACAGATGGAAAAATCCGTTAATTCTTTTAAAAATGGTCCTTTTAATATGAGAAAATAAATATTTACTTTCATTTACTAATTTAAACTTTACTTGTTTTGTCACATTAATACTTTTATTCTTGTGGTTTTTAATAGTTGTTTACAACACTGTAAATAATACAATCACGAAAGCTTATTTTGTTAAATTAAACAAAAAGGTTGTACAATTCTTTCAGCTCAGATTATTTATCTTAAATAATGGCATAATAATAAATATTGGTTTAAGTTATTATTTGGTACAACTCTAAATATACATAATGCCTTATTTGGGCATTATAAAAGTAAATAGCACAAACTTGACTGTATATATATTCGGAAAAGCATTGGCAGAATCGAAAAAGCTTACGATTTTGTTTTAAATAAATACAACAATCCGGAACGTACGTATGTATATAGGAATGACCAGTATATATATATATATATGGAAACCAAGATCTCTTTACATATATCCTTCAACTGAGACATTTTGCCATTGTCCCTGGAATTAAAATGAATTATTAATAAACTTAAAAATAAAAATTAAAATAAGACTTTACCGCAATGCCGAGGTTCCATCCAACGCCTGCTGGATTCTCCTTGGTGATCCCGCAGCGCCGACAGATAATGCCGTTCAGGGAAATGGCCCACACCTCAGCGCCCACGGAAACGGATCGGAAGCCACAGTGCTGCTCCGTGTGCGGCGGCACATTGGCGGCATTTGGTAGAAATTGCCAGTGTGAGCCCTCGGGGAAGGTCTTTGAGATCTCTTTTCGCACAGCCAAGCGCTGCTGGTTGTCCAGCGCCCAAATCCCAGCACGTCCAACACTTATCGCCTTAAAGGTAACGCCCGCCGGGGCCTCCACTTGTTGCCAGGCATCACCGCAGGGATTCTGCCTGCTGATGCCGTACCGGAAGAACACCATGCCGTTTCGCGCCACAGTCCACACCTGACCTGTTGGTCCCATGCTTATTCCCACGAGGGGCTGATCGCTGGTTATATGCTCCCAGGCATCACCGCGCGGATTCATAGTGCACACGCCATGACGGATGAGGACGTCGCCGTTGGAGGCAATGGCCCAGGCCGTAACGACTGTGTTTTCCTCACCCTGGCCGCTGTCCACATCGTCGTCTAATACCTGTCATTAAATCGAAAAAGTTTATATAATTTATGAATGGGATAATGGATAAAGCCTACCTGAAGGGCTGCATCGAGTATCTTCGACTGGCTCAGTTCTTGCCAGGGACCGCTGCTGCTCAGACGACACCTCTTCATCCATCTACGACGACGCACGCAGTCCGTGAGCTTCTTGTGGGCATGGTAGTTGGCTGGAAAGTCAATGGCATACTGCCAGCCCTCCTTATCCGCTCCTCCGGGAATGTTGTAATCGATCGCCCAATCTGAGATCCATTCACAGTGCGTCGATAGAAGCTTTGTGTGCTCTTTGCTGCGCTTCTGCCGCCCACTGGCATCGCTCCACATGTGCCGATCTGTGGGCAGGCTCTTGGCGGTGAACCCGCTGATCGGATTCCAGCGCTGATTCTCGTACACATAGTAGGTGTGCGTGTCAATCATAGGATTAATCTTTCCGGAGCCCTCTAGCCCTTTCAAGAACATGCCGCCCCATCCGCCGTTGTAAACCCAAGCGGTGTTGTCACAGGAAATACCCCAAACTACGTCTACGCCGCTGTTGAAGACTCGTTTAATGTGGCCACCCATCTGGCGCCAGTGCATTCGTTCCATGGAGACGATTAGCGAGGGACAGCGATATAGCACGCTGAAGAGCTTGATGCGACCGCTTACATACAAACGCGTTACACTCTCTGGATCTATACGGTACTTATAATCGGTGTACACGGCATTGTTCACAATCATTAGGTAGTGATCCTTCAGAGCCCTGGAAAGCAAACCCGTTGCTCTAAATATTTGTTTACCGAATTAGGAGCTGCCTTCATACCTTATTTTCAGCGAGAATGTAGCTCCCGGTGCAAAGGCCATTTTATCATTGCGTATCTCATCCAGCCACTCAGATTCCTTCATCGAATTCAGCACTGTGGTGCGTTCGTTGAAGCGCGGGTTCAGGTGCAAGGCAATCACACGATGCTTCTCCACGCGATGCGGATGCACCTTAATGGTGGAGTGGGACTGCAGATCGAAACGAATCTGATCAGCATCGTCATAGACACAGCCGGATATCTCCAGTTCAGTGCCACAGGGCATTCTAATTGGGAAAGATTATTATTAAATTAAGTATTCAAACATATTCGTTGTAGACTTAGAAATTGCAATCAAAAATAATATGAGGGATTCATAAATACATTATTATCCAAGAAGGAAGCATAAGCCGAGGCCAAGAGACACTAACCAAATCCTACTTCAGGTATGTTAAGCCGACACTTACCCATTGTAGAGTGTGTTGTAGTAGGGCGTCTCGCACGTGGACACATCCATTTTCTCGACATACCCTTCACCCGGCTCTGTCGTCTGCTGTGTGGCCTTCATATTGGCCGCATCAAAGACAAAAACATCGCCCAGCTCGCTGGTCAGCCAGATGGCATTGCTGGCCGGCTTGCCAACCAGGGTGTTAATTTGGCTACACACGGATGAAAGATGAGATAGCCAATCCTCCATCTCCGAGTCGCTGGAGAATTGCAGCTTAACGGGTGAGCAGTTCACCGGCAGATGAGGAGCATGGATGGCAATTCTGGGGGCTCCCGCTTCACTGCAGGACTGCACGCACGTGATGTCCGACAAAGGAAATTGAATTTTCGTAGCTGCTCCGTCAGGGCTGAGCACCGTAAACGTTCCAGAGTCCCCGGATTTGGAGGCATCGCCGCCACTGCCGCTGCTAACCCATTCTAATTCAATGACGCAATCTTCGAATTCACCGCCAGGTCGCTGATAGCGGGCGTCCGCTGACTTTACCCAAGAAGAGAGCTCTACTGCCTTCTCAAACTTGGCCACAGTCTGAAGCTTGGCGAGCCTTTCCTGCCGCCGCTGCAGTTTGCTAAGAATATCCTTTCGCCAATTGGCATTCACATCCACTTTGCTATCGCTGGTCAGCTGCTCATTGAACCAATTGGGCATGTTGCTTGCATCCACGGTCACCGCACCCGGAGCCACGCAGCTCCATAGGATGCCACACTCCGTCCAAAATTGGGAGCCCGTGTGGTCGTCATCTTCGCCCAGAAATACATCTGATCCGTGGTGCGTTGAGTCCGATTCGAATACCGTCGAATCGCTCTCCGGATGGGCTTCCATTCCAACAACGGAACCAACACTGCGCACGGGCGACCAGGCGCGTGGATTCCTTAGCTGGGTCTCAAACTTTCCACTGATCTCGACCACATCCGCGGCAGGGGCACTGGATGCGTGCGAGGTTTCCCTGAGAGCAGCAGTTCGCTGCTTGTGACGATCATTCAGGTTGAGACTTCCTATAGTCGGTGGTGAATCCGCACCAAGGCGATAACGTTCGTGCTTGAGAAAGTTTGCAGTTGCTGCTCCAGGGCTGGCGCATGAGCCGGTTGAGCTGTGCAGCACGGTCTCTATCACGGCGCACGTCTCCACAACGCCTTTCTCCTTCTCCTTGGAGTATAGATTGGAGAAACTCTGGTGCTTGGAGCCGGGAGTGGAGCTGCTGCCGCCGCTCTTACGTGACACAATCGATAGGGAGCTGGAAGTGCGACTGATCTGCATGGGGCACTGAATTAAACGCCACTTTTTGCCGGTGGGATCGGCAGTGGTCACCCCAGACCGATGGTACAGGCACCGGTCAGCGGCTCCAACGGCAAAGACCTACGTGATAAATATTAATCTCAGCTGGACGCAGAGTATTAAACCGAGCAGGGACTCACCTGATCGTTAGCTGCTACTGAAACCGTGGATATGTTGCCGACCATTTCCACCCAACCCTTGCCAATTGCCGAGTCTTCGCTTATACCGGCAGCTTCGCCCTTAATGCCTCTCCTAAACCAGGCATGATGGTCGTTGGTAACGCACCACACGGCGTCGGTGCCGACGGAAACGTGAATTATGCGTAGGCTACAGGACGCCACCGGTGTCTTGACATCCAACCAAGCATCTCCCGAAAGATTATCCCGGGTAACTCCTGTACGCACAATCACCCGTCCATTGTATAGAACCGCCCACACCAAGCCTGTGGGTCCTACGCTTATCTGTGAGAGCTCACTGCCCGTAGGAGTGGGAACTGCGGTCCACCGGAGGCCCTCGGGTGCTGATTTGGATACGCCGGTGCGAAACATGGCTCTGCCGTGGGCGGTGATGGCCCAGACACACAAAGTGCCGGCTGGCGCATTGGGAACATTGGTGCCACCGATGGCAACGTCGATGAAGGGCTCCTGTGTGGGATCCTTGTGCAGTGGCGCCACAGCACACCAGCTATTCAAAGCGGCATAGCGCCGGAAACGGATCCACTTGCGGCGCCGCACATATGAATTCCATGATTTCTTAGCCGAATAGGAAGCGGGAAAGTCCAAGGCGTACATCCAGCCATCCTCGGGAAGCTGCTGGCCATCCAGCTCCAGGTCTAGGTGCCAGTCGCCGTCCCACTGCCAGGCCATCGATGGCAGCCGAATCTTGTCTACGCTGCGCTCCACACTGCCATCTACCGATGAATACCTGTATCGATCTGTGGGCAGCAGTGTCTTTGAGAATCCCTCTATGGGCAGCCAGCGTTCATTCTCGTACGACTCCTCCCTGATCCGGATGGGCACGTCTAGGCCATGGACATGCACGTACACCTGGCGGTCTCCGCCAATGGCCCACAGGAAGTTGGGCACAGCACAGATCTTCTTGAACTCCAGTCCCAGGTAAGGTAGTTCGCGCCACGCTCCAGAGCTGGTGGACAGCGTGTAGACGCGTCCCTCGCTGCTGGAGGCGAACAAGTATGAGCTGGGCATGGTTGGATCTTTTACGTCTTGTAATTTTCTATTTCGTCTCACATCGTGTTTACAATTGCCACAATTGATTTTTCTGCAAGACGGCTAGTGTGACCAAACATGAATCCCAATCAGATGTTTATTGTGCAATGTCCGTCAAATTAGTGTAGATGAGTTAGCGTCAAAATGGAACGGTGGGAAAATGGAACATAAAGGGGATCTTCAATTTTTAATTTATTTCGTAATTAAGGCACCAAATCGAATAAAATAATGTTTATAATTTTAATGCTAAAATATGAATTTACTATTTTTTTTACTGGGTTTGAAAGTATTTGAAATTTGGATATATTACAAAAAAAAAAGCATGTGAAAAATCACGGTTTTCACGGTTTTTTTAATATCTCGGCTAATCAAACGCGTGCAGCAATACCCGGTGCGCCAAAATAAAAGGCATTTATCGCAATTTTACCTTATTAAGTTTCAATTTCTTCAAGCCGTCGGGTTTTGAGCAAATCGTATAACAGTGATCTAACCTCGCGGTCGGTTCCATACAACATAGGGCATCCAAAATTGTAAGGCTTATTATTTCGATATACGAACGCGTGTACATATGCACGGTATATAGGCTTATTAGGGGGAAAATTAACGCATATTTAGTGAAAATTTCAAATGCTTTTAACCCTCAGATTTCGAGAAAATCGAATAACAGTGGGTGGTGTATTTGGGCTTATAGCTAAGGCGCGAACTATGAAAATGGAATCAGATGGGAACCAGCAGATAACCACTCGTTGAACCAAACAATGGAACCATGTTAAGAAAAATACTAAATTAAATAAAAATGACAAATTGTTGAATAAAACATTAAAAAAAGTGACTGCAGACAGATGGACATGGCTAGATAGACTTGACTGTTGATGCTGATCAAGAATATATATACTTTATAGGGTCGGAAATAATTTATTCACTGCGTTGCAAATTTTTGACCTGAAATCATATTACAAGGCAAGGGCATTGAAGCACTAGATTTGAGAAGCAAATTTTCGAATTAAGATTTAATAGTCTGCCCAATAAATGATAGCGTTATTCTAAGCAATATGGTAGGTGTTTCATCGAAATCCGTTCAGTAGTTTGGGAGAAATTAACATTTGAATTATTAAATTATATACTAAGGAGGCATGACTATGCACCCCTGGTACCCAACTGCAATAAATAAAAAGTTGGGATTTCTCAGTAAAGACTAAACGGATTTTGATGAAACATATATCAAAATGTTCAGCACTGCAATGCCGTCTATGGGACAATCTTCCTTTTGCATATGCTTAACCATAAAGTTTAAATCAAGTTTTCTTGTTTTTAGGCAGGCAGGGCTGGCGGATATATTTATTCTTCACTGGCAAAAAAATTGAAATAAATGAAAAAGTCGGGATTTCTTATGAACGACTAAACGGATTTTGACGAAACGTGGATCAAAATGTTCAGAATTGCGATCCCGTTAATGGTACGAACTTCAGATTGCATAGGTTTTTTAATAAAGTTAAAATCAAATTGACTTAATTTAATGCAGACAGTGCTGCCAGATGTATTTATTCTTCGTAGGAACATTTATGAAAATAAATGCAAAAGTGGGGGTTTCTCATGAACGACTGAACGGATTTTGATAAAACAACTACCAAAACGCTTGGAATGTCAATTCCATTCATGGGGCATGCATATTTCATACAATGGTGTAAATGGTCAATAGGAATATTTTCTGGCGGGCTATTCATCGATAGGGTGTGGGAGGCGAGCCTATCGATATGAAGCCAGTGTTTGTAAACAAAAGAAAAAGAAAACGCTAATTTCTAAAAATCTGTGGGTTAGATTTAATAGAGATTTAATTCGAAATTTTAGAATCTTTTTCCCTATCGTTTGATATACCGTGCAGCTTGCACGCGTTCATTTAAGGGTGTAAGGTTTTTGTAAAAGTTCTGGTTCAGCGAGTGGTTCTCTGCTGGTTCTCATATGGTTCCATTTTCATAGTTCGCGCCTTAGCTATCAGCCCAAATACACCACCCACTGTTATTCGATTTTCTCGAAATCTGAGGGTTAAAAACCATTGAAATTTTTACTAAATATGCGTTAATTTTCCCCCTAATAAGCCTATATACCGTGCATATGTACACGCGTTCGTATATCGAAGTAATAAACCTTACAATTTTGCATGCCCTATGTTGTATGGAACCGACCCCGAGGTTAGATCACTGTTATACGATTTGCTCAAAAACTGACGGTTTGAAGAAATTGAAACTTGGTAGGGTAAAACTACTATAAATGATATTAAGAAATCCGTGAAAACACGATTTTTCACATGCTTTTTTTAATATAAAAAGTAGTAAATTCATTTTTTAGCATTTATAAACCTTATTTTATTCTATTTAGTGCCTTTATTACGAAATAAATTAAAAATTGAAGATCCCCTTTATGTTCCATTTTCCCACTGTTCCATTTTGACGCTAAGTCAGCTTTTTTTTCTTAATGTGGCATCTGGTCACATGTGCGGAATATTGGCGCTGCCATACTTTACGAGGTAAACGGCTGTTAAAATTTGGGAATGTGTGTTTTGTCGCGGAAAATCGTCGAAAAACTCGCAAGAAAGGCTCATAACGGCCATGATGATGTTGTGTTCCAAGCGATTTCATCGACAACATCGATTGAAAACATCGGTGTATCGACATTTAAAAAACATCGATAGTATCGATAGTGACATCGACGTTTTTGCAGCTCTAATTGACGCCAAGAAATTATACATTGAGTTTAAATAATATGGTAATATTCTAAACGTTTATTCTCTTAAACCGCATAGTTGACCCCTGAATCAAGGACACAGAGTCACAGATTGATTCAGTGCCGGTAGAGATGTGAAGCAGCCCCAAATAAGGGCTTTCGGCGTGGCGATGTTCGACGCAAAAAGGCGAGCACGCGCAGGGCAGGCTGTCGCTGTCTGGTGTCTGGTCGGTCGTTTGTCGTCCGTCGTATCAGCAGCTGACTTTGGCAGTGGCAACCGGAGGGCCGACATCACGGACTCCCCGCACCGACACCAGCATCAGCCCATCCCTGGCCATCCGTGGGCTGCAGTCCGGAGCCGAGTCCCATCCAGCAGCAGCCGGTATTTCGTGCAATGGAGTTGTAAAACAACTCGGGGGCTAACATACATACATTTGTACAGGGTGCAGAACGCCCGTGCAGCCCCACAAACATACGAATATGTAGTGGACTCGTATTATCGTATATACGCTATATATATATTCAAATATATATGTATCCGCCGATGTCCTGTGCATCCCGTGAATCTACTTCGCTGCATTGCGCGAGTTCGGGGTGGTCCTAGGCATACCAAAAAAGCCGAAAAAAAACTCCCCTAAACGACGATTGAAACAAGTGATTAAACCCTATTAACCGGAACCTTTTCTCATCCCAAAAACAGTCAACCACACACTAAAGCCTGTAGCGAACGCTGGTACCATTGGAAACACAGTGGTAAGTGCGTAAATGCCCCTCCGTTACATTCATGTGAAATCAAAACGTTTTATTAACGCAGCGCATTCTCACATTCGGCGGACGGAACGGGACGAACACTCTGGGATTCACATCACAATAAGTCATGCCACGAGGAAAACGCCGAGCAGCAGATATTGGCGACAACATGGATGGTCAATCGAAGAGAGCCCGTACCAGCTATGCCAGCATACCGACACAACAGAGCAGCAGGTGAGTAGTAGTAGTGTGCAGAACGCTGAGAAGGGACTTGGGAGTGTATCACCTGTTCCGGGAACCAGCATCTACTGCCCCAATAGGGTGTCAATATGAATATGTAATAGTGATCGTCAAGTTCCTATACAGCTGACATATGATATGGGCTCGGGTGAAAATAGATTTTTCACCTAATTGTGATGAAATAAGTAATAATTAAATTGGTAGATTGGGTAGCAGCTAAACAATACTAAGCATTTCTCTAACAAATTTCTTTGAGTAAGCCATGCGCATATTAAACAACTTTTATTTTGAGAAAAGTAATAGATAACGCAACTATGTTCAGGCCTTAAAATTGCCCATTCATCGAAATACTTTAAAGAAACTTGCCTAATCATCGAGATAAGAATGTATTATTAAATTATTCGATAAAAGGTTTATAATAGAAGGAATAGCCATTATAACTATTAAGTCTGTAAAATTCGTTCCCATTTAAATTATTGCTTTTATCTATTAATAATTATTTACTCGAGAGGAAATCAGTTTTATACCTAAATTAGATTTCGCACTTGCGGGGGAGTTTTGGAATGTCTTAACATATCTCTATTTTAATAAACATTATATGATAGCCTATAGAAATCAGTTCAGTTTAGGTTATGTTTATTATTTTAGACAAAAATTACTTTAATTTAGTTAAAGCCTTCAATCTCATCCCATTCCTTTTAAAAATAAATAGGCTTTCAGCTTAAGCTGGAAAATATAACAGAAACGATTTCAGATCTTTACATTTTTAAATTATATAGAATTATAAATGTACTTGGCCAGACTATTAATGAGTTTTGAAGTACAATTGTTATGATAGAAAACAAACACGGTTGGCTTATATTACTTTTCTATTCTGTATAGTTGTAAACAAATACAGTTTGTTCCTGGACATTACTGCATTGCTATACTTTTGCAGGGCATTTTAATTTTAGTCATAAGCTTGTAATGTTGTGAAGGAATCATGTAGTAGTAATGAGTTTTTTTTTCGATAAATACTTATTAAAAAAATCCGAATATTGTTAGGTCGATTTCAGATTCTATTTTATAATTCAATTGCCAACTAAAAGAGTATATAAGTTTCGCATTCCCGGAGATAGTTCCTTTTCTTGTAACCAGATACTTTCCGTCCGACCTTCAATTTAACTTATTAATTAATAATAATAAAGAAAAACTTAGGCTCAAGTATGCGTTATTAGGTCGAAAAATAGTTAAATGTACCGTGTCTGCATAGATATGGATATTATACTTACTTTCATCAGACAGGAGAGGTACTGATCAGCGAATATGTACACTTTTTTGGTCACGGCTCCCACTTCTTATTATCAGGAACATTTTTATTACCTTGCTGATAAGAAGATCAACACTAAAAATAAATATTTACCAAAACAATTGAAGGGCTTTTTCATCAGGCATCCAGTATTTATTTTCAATAAAACTCATTAATATTAATTCTAAACAAAAGCATTTTTAGTTTTTCATGCGTTGTTCATTCCCCAAATACATATTTCTTATTATTTTAATTGGCAAACCTTTAAATGGATTAAGAGATAATAAATTTGAAGTAGAAAATGTGCAGGAGATTTCTTTAAAAAGTATAGCATTATAGATGTAGATGCTTTTCGATACAAATTGCTGAAACTGGAGGAGGGAGCTATACGATTTTGGCCAACTTTGGTCGTTCGCTTAGAGATTAAGAGTTTGCCTTGGTAAATAATAGTTGTGGTTGGTTAATCATAATATATATATATATATATATATATATATATTAACATTTAATAATCATATATGGTGCGGTATTATTTTATACATTTTAACAATATGGAAGACATTTGCATTTCTCATATATGTATATCTTTATGTTGCTTTCGATAATTTCGTAAAACTGCCGGGACAACTCCTCAATTTTGACTCTTAAAGTTTTAAAATAGGACTACAAAGGATTGCAATAGATCCAACAAACGTGGGGGATATGTGTAGACAACGATATGATCTCAAATAGTTGAACGAAAACGAATGCTTCACTTGGTTGCTTAGCCGTGCTCACTCCATCGAGCCGTACTGGACCTTCTTGACCTTAAAGTACCTGAAACGAATGCAGATTCTGTAGATTCTGTGTGTCTGTCGTGAAACGTTATCTCACCTCCATCCGCCGTAACCCGAGATGGTCAGCAGAACGGCAATGGCCAGGGCAGTTCCAACAGCCAAGGGCGCCGTCTCGTCGCGATAGGAGCCGGTGGCGCTGCAGTGGAAGGAAGGTCCCCACTTGCCACTGTCCTTGAACATGAAGCTCTGCATATGCATGTCCCGCAGATATAATTTGGCTATATGCCCCGACTGGTCTCCGGAGTCGTGCGGGGCGTACATGATCACAGTTTGCTCCTTGTCGCACAAGTAGGACTTGCCCACCGGCGTGGGGAAGTACATGGGCGTCTGGGCTGGTGAGGTGAGCTTGACATCGAGATTGGGGCGATCGGGGTGTTCGAATAGCCCGTTCGAGGAGGAGTAGGATAGCTCAAACAAATTTATGTACCAGCCTTCGCCGCCGGACGACTGTGTGTGGGCGAAAGTTCATGCATTAGTCAATGACAATCAACCTTTAACCTTAAAAGTTGGGCTTGAGTTGTCCAGTGTACGCTTGGATACTCCCGATATTGATTTTTTCCCAATCATATTTACTTTTTGTACATGGGGAAGTGAGTTTTACCTGCCCAATTAAAGGTATTTACGCCAACCCACTCACCTTTTTAAATGTCATGGACAGGCGGAAGCCCTTAAAGTCCATGGTTAGGATCTCCATATTGGACTCCACGCACTCGCCGCTTAGCTGGGGATTATCGGGCATATACAGATCGGCCTCCACATCCTCGTTCAGCTTGTTGCGATACCTGATGCTGATTAATCCATCCACCTGCATCAGGATGCAGGTGATACCGTTGGTGGCATTGAAGCGGTACAGCGAGGTGGTGGCATCATGGTTCATCGACGCGGCCTACAAAATCAGGAATATTGGGAATATTAAGGACATACTGGGAGACAGAGGACTTAGCTAGGGGATTACCGATGGCGACTTGGTTGTGTACTTGCTGACCCGCGGCGCCTTCGTTGACAAAGGGCCCAACTGCAATCCGTGGGCGGTGGTGGCTGAAAAAGCAAAGGTTAACCAGGCTTCACAGGTTGCATTGCGTCGTCGAGTTTACTCATTTTTCAGTCAGTGTGTCACAGCAACCGTCCTCGACAGTATCGATTTTCGGTACTCCCACCTCTTACATACGAATACGTATCCGAATCCCACGTCCCTCGCTTCTACTCACCCAGAAGAGCCAGTAGGGCTGAGTAGAACAGCGTGGCATTAAGGCCTTTGCCTAATCCTTGGAATGTGATCAGCGATTGCTTGAAGTCGGATAGGTTCATCTTCTCTAGCAAATCCTTTGCACTTAATGGGCACACAATTCGAATGGCAATATTTTACGCTGCTGCAGTCTTCTCCGCTCGAAGCAACTACGACGTGTTTCCTGTTTCGGGTCCTGCGCACAACTGCGGCCCATATAAAATCACACTGTTCCTTTGCTGTTGCCCCAAGTCCTCCCCACACCCACACCCAGTCCACCTTTCTCCCTCCCAATCCACTGCCAAGCCGCCTTCCCCTTATCCTGCTATGGGACTTCACTCTCACTTTTTCCCTGCGCAGTCGCTACTGGAGGAGATGTGCGTGTGCTATATAAATGTGTGTACACTGCAAAAAAAGTGCACGTCAAATATAAATATACATATCGAAAATGAAGAGAGCTTTAAATTCTAAAAGGTTTTAATTAAAGTAATTCATTTAAATTTGTTATCTGATAACATTTCTCCCCAAAAGGAACCCTCTTCAAGCACGTTTTTATGAATGTTGCAATCAATAATTAGTGTGCGATCTTACGAAATGAAATTATTTACTCTCAGATGCATACATATATATTTAAGCACAGTTCGATAGCCTTTGTTCTTCCCAATTCGAATTGTCATAACTGTCGCTGGGCTAGCATTATTTTGCTACACTTCCCCGAGTGAGGGCCTCCGCTCTTGGCATTGGCCTCGTCGCTGCTCTGCTCTGCTCGGGGTCTGCCATGTTTACTATCGCTATTTTTAGGGGGCCAATACTCAAAAACAAAACCCCAGAGAAGAGGCAAGTCGAATAAAATAAACAAAAAGAGGCCAGGCCACACGGCATTAGCAGCGACAGATTCGATTAAAAGTCTGCTGGTGTTTACTATACGTGGGCAGTAATATTTTCCTATCAATTAGATGGCAGAGTGTGTGATACATAAGCTTAATTGAATCATTCATTGAACACTGGTTGACTGAATCAAATCTATTCCTTGCGCTTTTCTCTTTCCCAGGCGCCATATCAGAGCGGAGGATGGCTTCAGCCAAAAACGTTGCTTAACATGGTTCCAGGAATACACCACTCCAGATGAACCAGAGACATTGGGTAAGTTGGAATATGTTGAAATGTATAGCTAAAAATATAACACATATAATATATTTATTGTATTTTTTCTAGGTCCCGATGGGATGGAAAAATTTTGCGAAGATATCGGTGTGGAGCCCGAGAATATTGTGATGCTGGTGCTGGCCTATAAAATGGGTGCCACCCAAATGGGCTTCTTTAGCCAGCAGGAGTGGCTGAAAGGCCTCACCGAGATCGACTGCGATTCTGCAGCGAAAATGGTTGTGAAACTGGACTATCTGCGCAGCATACTCAACGATCCAAACTCCTTCAAGAGTATCTACAGATACGCCTACGATTTTGCCAAGGCAAGTCAATATTTTGAAATTATATAAGCAGGAGGGGAGATTGTAATTGTTTTTGTTATTCTGCAGGACTCGGATCAACGAAGTATGGATATTGTCACGGCCAAGGCCATGCTTCAGCTGCTTTTGGGCAAACACTGGCCGCTGTATCCGCAGTTTGCACAGTTTCTAGAGCAATCAAAGTACAAGGTGATCAACAAGGATCAGTGGTGTAATATCTTGGAGTTCTCGCGCACCATCTGCATGGATTTGTCAAATTATGATATTGATGGGGCATGTAAGTTCGATAATTCAACCGTAAAAATCAAAATTCATTGACATTAAATATTATAGTCCTTAATTTTTAATTGCTAACCTTTATATTAACCTTCTGCGTTTTAGGGCCTGTCATGCTAGATGAGTTTGTCGAATGGCTGCGCCTGCAACGGAGCCTGGCCAACTCCAGTTCTGGACCGTCCAGCTGAGAGATGCTGTATAGAGTCGCCTATTTCTAGTTCAACTTTTGGGAGCTCAGTGCGGAGGCGTTCGCGGAGGAAATGGGATGCGATGGGGAAATGGATGAGTTGAGAGATCGGCGGAACTATAAGACACATCCAGAATCACTCACTCACAAGCCCACACCACACACCATACCCACACAGGCACACACACTCACACACAATCACACACAGTGAAAAAAAAGCATTTGGAGAGACTGCGTACACTGGCAAAAGCAACCACTATGAAACTAAACTATTGATAATATATTTAATGTAATAATTTATGTATTAACGACAACTAAAAACTAAAACCACAATTTTCTACTTGTAAGGCGTCCTTTGAAACGAAAACAAAAAGAAAGAACAAAAAAAAACATGAAGAGACAGCAACAAGAGCCAAAATGAGGGCAGAGCTTGTAAAAAGTAAACCCCAGAAAATGGATGAAACGCGATGGCAATAACCAAGAGAGACACCCAATAGACCTAATATCTAGAGCATGTAATTAAACTCAAGTAAACGAACCGAACCCTTGAAGATATCAGCAGCATAGTCAAAATCTCAACGTAAACCAACAACACCAATATTGGGGAAGTCGTAGTCGTTATTAAATCAATGTAGAAAAACAACAACATTTTGGGGACTATTTAATAAAATTATTAAGTAAAAGCTAGCATTACTCAAGTGGTATTATTATTTAAATAATGTGAATTTATTGAATGGAGAAAATCATGGTTTTTGGCTGTATACCAGTATGTGTCTCTTGTGGGTTAAAGAGGTATTATCTTGTGTCTGGTGGTCTCTAAGAAAAGCTTTCTTTTAACATTTAATATTGATTAATTTCTTAAAATACATAGATTGTTTCTACAATATTGGTATATATACCCTTGCAGGGTATTATAATTTCAGTCAGAACTCAGGAGGAACTTCATCAGCATCAACAGCCGGATCGATCTAGCCATGCCCTTCTGTCCGTTTCTATGCAAACTAGTCCCTCAGTTTTGAAGCTATCTCAATGAAAATTTGGAGTTAGTCTTCTATATAATTACTTAATCTTATATATGTCGGAACGGGACGGAGCGAACGACTATATCATATATCTGCCATACAAATGATTGGAAAGTTTTAAAAAACAAAATGTTACTTTTCCAATTTTCAACAGATTTTCATATAATTTGAGAGTCATTTAATATTATTCTAGAATTACGGTTTAAATTTGATGAAAATCGGAATACTATATCATATAGCTGTCATAAAAACGATCGTTAGATATAGAGTAAAACGCAAACTGTAAATGTAAAACTGTAACAAAGTTTTTTTACATAAAGTTATATAATTTATTTATTTATATTGTATTGATTCCTAGTGATCAAACTGCAACCTGCAAGGGTATAAAAACTTCGGCGTTCCGAAGTTAGCTTCCTTTCTAGTTAAAAATTTAATATGGATTAATTCCCAAAAGATATACATATATTGTTTTCTACAAAATTGATATTTTATACATTTTAAAGGCATCGAAATAACTGTCACAGTTGTCCCTGAAATACTTACTCCAAATATAAACCATAATAAGTCTGTACTAGAAGTATGTTTAATAATTTTTACTTTATTTAAACAAATAACAGCCAATTGTCGCCAAGTGGCAACACCGGCGCAAGTGATATCACAATATTCCGGCCAAACGGTCACACAGCTGACGCTTCTTGCAGACCATTTTTTTGCCATTTAAAAAAATCGAACGGTTTCGGCGCGTTGTCCGCTTTGCGCCTGTTTTTCGTGCATTTTTGGCTGGCGTCGATGATCGCTCGTGGACTTTGTTTGTTAATTGTGTGGATCTCTTAATTGTTCCCGTTTAAGTGGTATCTTGGGCGATCGCGGCGCATCGGCGGAGATAGATCGCATCGACCAGTCTGCAACAAAGCATTTTCTCACTCCAGGTGAAACGCCAGTGCAAAAGGGAGCTCCAGAAGGCAGATCAAAATGGCCGCGAAGCCTGATGATAAGAGCACGGATATTCCGGATCGCCTGTTTGACTCCAATAATCGAAAGACCTACAAGCGCCTGCGGTTTTTCGGCAAGGTAAGCTGCAATGCCATTTACGGCTGTTCCAAGTCCTCGGCACAGCGCATCAATATTTCCACTCACACACATGCACACACACACATCCCGGTTCTTTTGCTCCGTTTCCTTTTGTGCCCTTCGCCTGCGCTTGCTCCTTGTTGTTGTTGTGTTGTTCTTGGTAGATCAGAGAGAGAGCAAGCGTAGTTGTAGTTGTATGTGTGAGTGCGACGGCAGTTTAATTTTTGTGTTTTGGCGCGACTTGAATTTACATCTGCAAGTTTAGCAAATTAAAAACTAATTCTTAAATTAACTGCTTATGAGCTATTTACAAGCATTTCTTTCAACTTCCACGAAAGTTAACAAATCCTTTATAAAATCTATTTATGCGCAGGGGGTTTTGCAAAATGCTACGAGATCATCGATGTGGCGACCGACGAAACATTCGCGGGAAAGATCGTGTCCAAGAAGCTTATGATCAAGCACAATCAGAAGGAGAAGACAGCCCAGGAGATCACAATTCACCGCAGCCTCAACCATCCGAACGTTGTCATGTTCCACAGCTACTTCGAGGATGTGCAAAATATCTACATTGTGCTGGAGCTGTGCAAGAAGCGAGTGAGTAATAGCTGTTCTCTGTATTAACCCCATCTTTACTGATCCTCGACCCTTGCCCATTAACAGTCCATGATGGAGCTGCACAAACGCCGAAAGAGCATCACCGAGTTCGAGTGCCGCTACACATATTGCCCAGCCATCGAGGCAAGCGAGGAGATTAGTTTAATTAGTCAACGTGGCGTATGCGTGATGCGGTGGCAAAGCCACCACCACCAGGAAACGTGCCACATACGGACGGAACGACAGACGCCACTCCGCCAAAAATGCAATCGAACTTTTCGCGGTCGCATGGGAAAAGTCAGCGGGGAAAATGGCAGGAAGACTAAGTTAAAAATCAGAGCAAACCAGGGGACAAGATGCAAATGATAGGTGTTATGGCCACAGGGGAAAGCACAGAGCCACAAACTTTTCCAAGTAGTTTGGCATAGTTGGGGTCTAGATACTGCGGAAAATTGGCAAGTCGCGCTCTCAAGCCAGCCTCTCGAGCGTCAGTTAATAGTCAGAATAATGAGAAAAAGTTCAAGGCAATCTTAAAGATATTGAACGCATACTTTCATTTATTACCTCAAGAAAATCTACTTCATACCAAAAATTAATGGAAAATATTCAGTCAAGTGTAAAATTCTTTGCCAGAAAATATACAGCAGCTATTCTAAGCTCTTTTGTTTGATATTTTATATTGAACAAGAACAAGTTGTAGCTACTTTAGCTAAATGGTTTATGTTATAAAATTTCATTGAAGTGAAAAGAAAAGTAATGAAACTTTGAAATATATAAAATATTAATTTACTTACCGATTGATTTTTAAATTTATTTTCATTGCAGGTAAGTGTTTGATTAAAGTTAACTGAAAGAAAAAAAAAGGTTTCAATAAGATGCAAGTAAAATGTTAAAATACTTGTAAATATTTATATAATATTAAGTTTTTTTTAAACCTTAAGTAATTCTTACTTTAAGTTACTTTCCCCATACATTTACCAAATTTTAAGTATAACTTCCTTGTCTCTGATTTATTTCTATTGATTTTATTTCAATTAAATCATGCTGTCATCTTTACTATTGACCCATTTCAAACGTATATTTATTTATTATTATTTTTATGTGACCTTTAACATTTAGTTCTTGTCATCAATTATGCTGGAAATGCTGAAAAAGGTCGCCTTGATTGAATTACAACATAAAATTCAACAAAATATATACATATATATACAAGTCGCATAATGAAAGGCCGAAACCAAAACTTGATAAGCAAACAGCACAGACAGAGAAATATATAGAGAGAGAGAGTTCCTTGCCCTTCTCCATCCCGCAATAAATCACCTTTTCAGCCGCACATCAATTTCCAGACTAAAACGGAGCCTGATGGTGCTGCAACCTTAGTTAACTGCCGCATTCCGGCCCAATCAATCAAGCTCCTGCTTTCAATTATTTTTTATCATCTCAAAAATACCGTTTTTACTTTAAATATGTGTGTGTGCAGTATGGCTTGAACTTTAACTTGGTTTTAATCAAAAATCTAAGCCACATTCTCTATACATTCAGGATTAAAGTCACTGTCAATTAAGGGCTTAGAAATCCTTTTAATTTTCCAATGCAAAGCCAATAAAGACAAATTAATTACTTAATGCCCTGTAAAGGTGGCACTTTAAACTAAATTTAAAATTAAATAAATACTAAAATTAAAACATAAAACTTTTGTTTTAATACCAATTGCAGTTAGACCTATTTCCAGTTAAAGAAAAAACGAATAGTTTTCCCCGATACAAGCATTCATTTATATTCACATGAGTTCAACATTGAAGTTGAAGGAAAAAAAGTTGCGGAAAATTGGCAAAGCTTTTCCTTTTGGCGATAAGACCTCTCTCTTTCTATGTGTGTGTTCGTGTGGGCATTAGTGTGACAGTGTGTGTGCCTGCACTCATGCATAGGAATAAGCCGATAAACCCTGACAATTGTGTCATGGAGCTGCGTTTTAGTTTCGGGATCGGACTTAATGCCTCTTGACTTCAATTTGCATAGTCGGCTTAGCAGCGTCAGTGGAAAGATTGAATGGCAAATTGATAGAATTTGGATTCGGCATTTACCATTTGACAGATGAGGGAAATGCAGGGGAAATTCAACAAGAAGGCAAGGCATTTAATGATGATTTCGGAAGGGCCTAGGTCTGTGTTTGCTTTCATTTTAATTATCAAAGTAGTTGAATATGATTTGCAATGTGTATGAAGAAGCCAATTTCATGGCTTTTAGAAATTAAGCTGGGATTGATTGATTTTGTGGCAGAGTGTAATTAATACTTGATAAAGCAAAGCTTAAACAATTGTTTTAAGTAAAATATTATGTAAAGAAACCAATTCGCAAAGGGAATTTAATATACAGAGGTCATTAAAAGCATTAAAAGTCTGAGATATTCTATTTACTTATTCTTTCCTTCTTCGACCACAAGCTATGTTCAAATCTGACCTTTAACCCGCTGACAATGCAAAAGGCTGACAGAGTAATGTTACTCTGACCCAGACCGCAAGTAGCTCGCAGTAACCCGCAGCAGCATTGACAATTAATCCAATTAGGACCAAACGTATTTGCTTCTCATTATAAATGGATGAACTTTGGACTTTGACCAATTACCAAGCATTTTTTCAAACACTTTGGCACATTTAAAAATTAAACAGAAGGAATGTGGAGAAAGAGGAGGATAAAGAGATTGTGAAAGCGGCTTAGGAATTACGAATCCCTTTGCCAGCAAACTCAAACGAGTATTAAGCCATCTGCCTTCATTTAGCTTAAGTGCTTATCCGGCAAGAGGACCCTGCCGAAGGACACGTTTTGCCCACAGGACAATCAATTATGAATGCAACACCGACCAGCAGCCGCCCGAGAAAAGCAAAAGATTCAACCATAAAACTGTGTGTGAGGAGGAGAGGCTGCCGCTTTTATGGAGATAATGATGATAATTATATGTTTCCTGTGACATTGATTTGTCGCCTCTGAGTTGGGAGGCGGAAAATTCTCATAATGTTAATTCATTAGCCACCTAATCGGCTTACTCTGATAATTATTATAATTGATGTCAATCATCTAATTATGGCAACAACACAGCATGCCTTCCTATCAGAATCAAGACAGAATTTCAATACAGACTTCAGTCTGAAACGAAACAGTTATAGAAATATAAACTGCAAATATCTATATATATATATATATATATATATATTTTGTACACTCCAAAGATGAAGATGAACTCAAACCCGCCTACCGTTCGGTAGTTCTTGACTGTCTCCGAGATAATGCCAGCAATATGAGATATGAACACCAGGATCTGGCCAGACGGATTGGCATTGCATTGGAACATTCCCGAGCCAATCTATACCATGTGGAGAAAATTAACCTGGAGTTGCAGAAAATGAAGCTAACTGTCAACGATACAATGCTGAATTTAAGCAAGGAATCTGCATATACAAAAGTCGTATGCGAAAATCTTGAGTAAATTAATTAATGCGGCTGTTGAGGATCATATGGTAAAAGGTTCCATATCTATAAACAAGATTACGGAGCCTGATATCAAGGAATCCTTTTCAAATGTTATTGTCGAAGCTGCGCCCATTGAAGAGGTTTATTTTGCTTTACCTATGGATGCTAAAAATAATTTGAAAGCACTTATTCCAAAGTCGGAGAATGATGACAAAGTTGCAACTAACTAACTAACGAATTGCATTGAAAAATACTAAGAGGCTAGGAGTTAAAATTTACCTGTTCCACAAAGGCTGCTTAACACTATTCAAGAGTCTGAGTAATTTTTAATTGAAAACCTGCAGTATTTGTTAATTAATTGTACATAAAAATCAACTTGGAACAAAAACATGATTCAAAGGTGATTAAACAAAGGTTTAAAAATAAACAAGAAAGGAACTACTCTTGCATTTACTCATAGGATTATGGGTTCGAATGTAAAGTGGAAAATTTAAATGAATATTTGGGGACATGGCTAGATAGATTCGGCTGTTTATGCTGATCAATAATATATATGGTTTCTTGGGTCTGAAATGACTACTTCAAAGCCAGGGTCATTTTAAAGAGTTTTTAATACAAAAAACTAATAAAGGGTAAGAAATCAATATTCGAGAATAATTTATAATTAAGTTAGGCTGTTAACTTTCAATATACGTTTTTTGATAGCCTTAATTCAATGCATAGCTAGCACAACAAATTCTAGAGCTACACCTGATCCCTTCTATAGCATCTACATATGTATACATATAAATGATAAATTTGTAATGTTCAAGACTTACCGCTGTAGAGCACACACACTTGTTGGTGACTGCAATTCAGCTTCTCCTGTTATCATCGAAATCTGCTTCTTCCTAGTTGTCCAAATTAATTGCAGAGGCCGGATGATATCTTTGGCGTCGAAGATCACTATCATAACTATCACTGCGGTCACCGCTATCACTACTATTATTACTATCACTACGATCACTGCTATAGATGTTTACACTTGAAAGGCCGCGCACAGAATGAGGTCAGCGCTACTGCAGTGCCTCTATTTACTCCCCGAACAGAGAGAACACAAAGAGTGAGAGCGAGAGAGCAAGTGCTATCTCTCTAGATAGGCAAAAAGGGAAAGAGATATCTGTAGAGCTACATGGCATAAAGCATATGAATACGCTCAATGATGATCTTTAAGCAACTTATTAAGAGGTAATTCTTAGTTTGGTTTTATATTCAAGACTCTTTGAGATATATACATATATACATATCTATGTATGTCAAGACGACCTTCACAAGTAAATCTCATGAACTAGAGATGTGCTATATTAATTATTTATAAACTTTATAATAAACAAAAAAAACCTAAAAATAAGTAAAACAACTTCCTTATCAACAGGTATGTATTTTCGAAAACGAAATAATATTGTTTTCCTAGAAAAGTGTAATGCTGCGTTAACCCTTGTACCAAATACGAAGATATTTCCATAGAAACATCTAAATTATGGCAAAACTTTGCACTCGGCACGCACACACACGCACAAATTGCTTCTGGCCGAACCCATGTTAATCCTATGAGTAAATGCAAGAGTAGTTCCTTTCTTGTTTATTTATTGACTCAGCTGTTAATGCTGATCAATAATATATATGGTTTATATGGACGGAAATGACTCCTTGAAAGTCAGGGTCAGTTTAAA